CAAGTGTGTGGGTGTCTTCCCTTCATTTAGAGAGATTTTCATCTTTGGGAAAAAGAGCCTTTGGAGCACTTACTGGAGAATTTCCCATAAAGCAGAGACCTAAATACACTACCATATGACTCCTGCTGAGCCTGCGATTGCTTGCACAGCTCTCTGTTTATAAAACCAACTGCTCACATTCCCGGTGCTTCCTTTCCTGCTTGTCTAGAGCAGGCTTCTCCAACTTTGTTAATTACCTTCCTTGTGTGGAAAGTGTCACTGTACAGGAATATATGCATAGTTTATTATATACAAATGTCACAGACAACACGGTTATTTCTTATTGAAATTCATGAACTCCTACACTGATAGATTCACTTTAAGATGTGTGAAATGCCAGTTGTAAAAGAAAGAATTGGAGTTGTGCTTAGTTAGCATGTGAGGTCGTGAGTTCTGTTCCCAGACAAAGACAGAGAGAGAATGAGCATCAAATGTAAGTGAAAGTCTTATTTCTTATCTCTAGGGTGACCACACATGCTACTATTGAAACACAGTAGTTTTGATACTTGAATACATATGAAGACACTTTGACTTTTGCATTGTAAATTGTTTACCCTATTTCTTTTTTGTTTTGTTTTGTCTTGTTTTGTTGTTGCTGCTGTTGTTGTTTACCCTATTTCTTTACCCCTACCTTCTGAGCAGAATTGGGCTGGTGTGCTTCCTTCAGTCTCTTTACATGATGCTTTGGTATGTGAAGTCCAAGCTAAGTGGCCTGGGGAGTGCTGCTCGGAATGCTAGGGAGCTCATGTTAATGTTACCAAAGCACCACTTAATTAAGCCCTTGATATTCACCATCACTGTACTGAGTGCTTTTGATGAAGTGAAAGCCCTTTGTGCCCTCACAAAGTGTCCTTAGCATCAAGAGTAACCGGAGTCTGGAATCCAAGTGTGGTTGGTTACCACGGATACTTCGTTGAGAGGAGAGGCGGGAGCATGGTTGCATGTGCATAATTGAAGCTTTGTACCAAGAAAGTATTGTTGCAGAGACTGGAACTGCATCACTAGGTAGGTGTGTCAGGGATGTTGCTTTGGACTGGATAAGTGAGGGTACTGTGAGGATAGCTCTTGGAGCTCTAAGGAGTCAGTCAGAGAGAAGTAAGTAGCATTTTGTCACCAGATTTGGGGTTAGCATCATCCTAAGAGAGAGGTTAGACTAATAACATTTTATAATTTTCCTTCTTAACATTTTGCCATTCTTTGAACTTCAGAGTTTTGTTTCTTTCCTGTATCTAACTGTTCATATTTTTCAGTAATGAAGTCCTGAGATCTGTTTACATGGCTGCCACCTGGCACAGACCTTTAAGTGCCCCACCTTGCATGCTGCAGTGGCCTCGAAGTGGTCCCTGAGGACATTTCCCTCTGCTCCCTGCCGCTGCTGCTCTAGTCTTGCTAGGCACCAACCTTGCCACAGATTTAGCAGCTTGAGACAGAGTTGTTATTCATCATTTTTCTAAAGAAGATGTTCAGACATGGTGTGGTAGGTTCTCCACCAGCGTCTCCCTGGGCTGAAATCAAGGTGTCTGTTGGTCAGGACCATTGTCTTCATTTGGAACTTCAGGGTCCAAGTTCAGCCGTGCTTGCTACCAACCTGTGTACGGAGGACCCAGTGTCTCTTCTGGCTGCTGTGCCACTCTTTAGTTACTAGAAGCCACCTGGAAGTATTCAGCAGGTGGCTCTCATAGTCAGGTTGAGGTAGGGTGTTTATTTTCTCAGGCCAGTCAGAGTGTGCTTGTGATTCTTACAAAATAGAACATTTCAATTATAGGGAATAGAAATTGTTCCTTGCCCCTGGAGGGGTGTTCTTCAGAACAGACTGACTCATGGGGCTATAGTTGAGCCTCAGTGGTACCATGTGTTCCAGGTGGCAGCTGGGTGGAGCTGCTGCTCACTCTTAAACGGGAAGCAGGGGTTTCTCTGGCTAATCACCCACTCTGGAGCAAGGCTGGGCTAAGCTCCCAGGAGTGCAGATATTACTCTTCCTTGGGCTTTCTCAGGCACTAGCTTGCAATGCAGCTCTTTGACTGAATGGGCCATGCTTGGTTGGCAGCATTGATTTTATGTTTATTTGTGAAGAGACAGAATATAAGATTACCAAATAAAATATAATTTCAAGAGTTATTAATGAAAGAATATATTGCTTTCTCTTTTAATGAGATCCTGGTGTTCCAAAATGATTCCATGTAATGAATCCCAGGAAATCAATGTGAAGTTTAATTGCAGCTGCGTTGTATAAGGACATTGCTCTGCTCAGTGTTGCTTGTACAATTCATCAACTCTCTCTTCCTTTTTCCTTCAATTAATTGCTTTGATGAAGTCAGTAAATACATTCTTTTGTTGGCTTGTGATCCTTTCTAGAAAAGTCTTACAAATCCCAAACTCTCCCACAATGAGTGGTTACTGTCATCTTTCTGGGTGTTAGCATTCATGATTTGTGCATTCTAAACTTAAGCCCATACTGTAAATGTATCATTGTTAACTTCTTTCTGAAACCTTTCCTATTTCCTTTGTTAGTCTTATGAAAATCATTTTCTGTGTCTTCTCAGCTTATTGGATAGACCTATGGGTCAGAAGTTTTTTTTCTGTGGTTTCCCACCCAGTCAAATAGTGGAATGGATGAAAAAGACTATGATATTTTTCCTCTGATTACGTTTTCTTTTCTTTTTATTTTTTTCTCTTGGCTTATTCAAGACAGTTTTCTCTGTGTAACCCTGACTGTCCTGGAACTCGTTCTGCAGACCAGGTTGGCCTTGAACTCAGAAATCCATCTGCCTCTGCCTCCTGAGTGCTGAGTGCTAAGATTAAGGGTGGGTGCCACCACTGTTCTCTTAAGTTTTCCTATAATTGTACACCATTTTGAGCTTAAGCAGAGTCTTCAGGCTAGTTTTGTTTTTGACACTTCATTGAGTATGGCTCTTTTTCAGCTACCGTGATGGTAACCGTGATGGTAACTGACTTCTGTTATTTCATTTTGAGGCAGCCTCTTCCTTTAGTTCAGACTAACTACCAACTAACTTTAGGTCCTCCTTCCTGCCTCAGCCTCCCAAATGCTGGGATTCCAGTCTTGTACTACCATGCACAATATAAGAAGTTGACTGTACATTTACAGATTTCTAAAATTGTTCTTGGTGTTTCTAGAGTTTACTAGGTGTATGTTGATAATATTCTAATGGAATTTCATTTAACTCTTCTTGTTTGTGAGTAGTTTGTTTTTGGCGTAAGACTTAAACCTTAGACCAAAGTAGAGTCACAAATTATTTTGACTGTCTTACTCTATGGATGAAAGCAGTCTTAGTTTGATTTTAAGAGAGGAAACCTTATGGTCCCTCAGTCTCTCTTCTCCCAGATCCTCCCAGTGATACCATGAACATTTCCTGCTGTGGCATGTCATGTGATCTTCAGGAATGCATCTTACCTTCATGGCTCTCATCTCCATGCTTCCTCCCAGGCTGTGATGACCTGATGTTTTCCATGCGCACCTTCCCAGAGCACACTCTGCTGGTGATTTCTGTCCCCTGCCTTGTGCCCCTGTCTCCCAGTGTGTCTTCTGAGCTCTGGTTTTGTTCTTTGTCTGCTTCCCATGTGTTTTTACCTGTGTTTCCCATGGCCCCTCAGACACAGCCAGCTCCGGATCCTCTCCTCTGTGGTGCTGACTCAGTCTTCTCTATACTGCCTGAGTGTAAGCACTCTGCATCCTTTTCCTTGTTTTCTCTTCCCACCTCCCCCATATACCATATTCTGACAGTTCTCCAATCCAAATATCCCTTAGAACCCTTCAGTTTTCCCATTTGCTCACTGGGAATATGCTCACTCACAGGGGATTAATGGGATAATTTTGTAGATGGTTTCTCCGCCCCTGCATGGGTTGGGACATTACTCGTAGGCTGAACTTTGCTTGTCAGGGTCACCTTCCTGCATAGACTCTCAGAGACCCTCAGCCGGCTACCAAATAACATAAAAATCCAATCTGGCAGCCACCACCTTTCTTCCTCTCCCTCCAGTAAATACTACTCTATTCCTGCCATGATGATAACCCTGAAAATAGAGCAGGAAATGATTCCCACAGGACTCTTGTCTTCATGCAGCTCACATTTCTGTAAGGAGCCAGTGTATGGTGAGTTGCCAGTTGCTACATCGTAACTGTAAATTTGTTACTATTGTGAATCTTACTATAAATATCTGTGTTTTCCAATGATCTTAGGGTGACCCATATAAAAGGATTGTTCGACCCCACCCCAAGGGGTCATGACTCACAGGTAGTAAATCAGTGCTTTATTCCACTCTGGCCCCAGGAACTTGTCTGTCACAGGCAAAGCCTCCATTATGGTTATCTGGAGTTTACAGCAGAGTTCAAGCCCTCACTGTTATGCTGCTATGTGGTTCAGTTACTAGCAGGTATCCTGCATTTCTCCCTGTAGTGAGAACATTGAGCACAGCTATATCTCTTATAGTTGCCAGCATTGGTACAATATTGCTCACAAATTGGTAGTCCATAAATATTTGTTGAATGCATAAATGAATAATGAATTTGGAAAACCTATGTTATTTTCCTTCCCCCCAGTCTAATGGAATTTAAAAGAAAATATTTTTGTATTATCTATACATGTAATTTTAAATCAGAAAAATGTAGATAAAAAATTATTTTGTGTGTGTGTATGTGTGTACTATGTATATTTATATGCCCTGGTGTTTATGTGGTTGTCAAAGGACAACTTATCAGATGGAGTTGGTTCTCTCTTACCATATGAATCATAAGGTTTGAATTTAGGTCATTAGGCTTGGTGGCAGGAGCTTTTTCCCATGGAGTTGTATTGCTGGCCAAGACTATGGATTTTTTTAGATATAAGAGCATCCACCCGGAGTTTGAAGGGTCATTGTCTTGGGTGTGTGGGAGATTACTCCTGTTCACTGTGTCTCAGCCTGGGATCCCACTTTTGACCGGCATTTCTCTTGCTGTATTGCAGCTCTCGTCGTGAGTACCACTTCTGCAGGCTTTGCACTGGCTCCAGGCCCTTTCGACTGGCCCTGCTTCCTGCTGACTTCCCTTGGCACGGGCCTCGCATCCTGTGCTGCCAACTCCATCAATCAGGTCAGTTCTGCTCTGAGCATGTGATGCTGTTGTCACTTGCTGACTGTTGTGCCCTTGTGTTTGAAGTACTCCTAGATCCTGTGCCCTGCTGGAGAAGCACCCTGAATCCACAGATGTGTCCTGTGGGGGTCTCTGCTTGGTTTGGTTTGATTTTGAGGCAAATGATTTTCAGAGTGCTGCAGAGTATGTACTTGAAGTGGTCGGGATTTGTGGGTTAAAAAGGAGTGAAAACTGCCAGAATTTTGTGTTCCCTTTATTTCAGGAACATTTCCTTGAATTCATCGTGATTATGTGCTGTTGAGGTAGTTTTATTTCCTTGTATATTACTTTTTATCTTATTTGGTTGTCTGCTTTAGTAAGCTCTGGTTGTGTCACCGAAGGGGGATTTAAACACACTGTACAGAATCCTCCTACCACTGCCTCTCAAGTGCTAGTAGTCGTCATTGAGCAATATGCCATCATGCATAGCCTCTTCGTTGTAAGCCACCAACTGTGCAAAACAGAACATTTTAAATATTCAATGTTTGTTAGTTTAAATGATGCGTAGGTGTATATGTCTGCATGTGGCTGTGGGCATGTGACTACAGGTATAAAAGGAAGGCAGAGGCATCACAGTTTGAGGAACCTAAGTTCCAGGTGGTTGTAATTGGTCTAACCTGGGTGGTAGGAACTGAATTTGGGGTCCTCTGGAAGAGCAGCATGTGCTCTGAACATCTGAGCCAACTCTCCAGCCCCAGAATATTTTAAAGGAACATATCCACCTTTCAAAACATAACAAAACAAACAAATAAACAAAACCAGTAGTTCAATACTACTGTTTATTTTGTATGTACAACCAGATTATATCATATAATTAATTGCTAAGTACTTTTAATGGCTCATTTTTCTTCTTGCTATTTTAAGCACCCCGATGAATCTCTGAAATAGTTTTTTCCTTTGCCTGGCTACTGTGGTGTCTCTTGACTTTGTGGTTTCTTCATAAGATGCTATAGTGAAAAAAAAAAAAAAAAACTTGGCTAAAACTTAAGGAAAGTTGTCTCATCACCAGAACACCCAGAAGGAGTTGGCACAGTTTTCCAATAGGAATACAACTTGCCACCAAGAACCAGCTTGATGTTCATAGGACACCATATAGAAAAAGCTAGTTTGTAAAATATGGGAATGTAATTTGATAATACTTAAAATCGTGTGTGGTGACATTTTGTTTATGATCTAATAAATAAAGCTTACCTGAAGATCAGAGTGCAAAGCTAGCCACATTAGTTAGCCATAGAGGCTAGTAAGTGGTGGTACACAACTTTAATCCCAGCACTCAGGGGACAGAGGCAAGTAGATCTGCTGTAAGTTCAAGGCCACCCTGGGCTTCATGAGATTGAGTCTGTATAAAAGAGAAACAGAGTTCACACAAAGGTGCTCCCAGCACTTGGACTGACATGCCTTTAATTCCAGCACTAAGGAGGTGAGGAGAAGAAGGGATATGCCTTGGCTGAGAGAGGAATATAAGGTGGGAGGAGACAAGAGAGAGATGCAGTCTGAGGAGCAGTATAGTCTGAGGACAGGATCACCCTTTCTGTCTGAGCATTGGAAGAGGTAAGAACTCTAGTGGCTATCTGCTTTGCTTCTCTGATCTTCAGCATTAACCCCAATATCTGACTCTTTGAGTTTTTATTGTCGAGAACAATTTGAACTCATGCTACAATCATGTGCTTCCATAAGGTAGTGTCCATGCATTGAGGATATAATTTGTTTCAAATAGGGTTCTTATTGTTGTTGCTTTTGAGGGGATCTCACTATGTATTTCTGCTAGCCTGGAACTCACTATGTAGACCTTACAGAGATTTGCTCACCTCTGCTTCCGAGTGTTTGGACTAATGGCATATGATACTACATACACTAGCCAGTTGTTATTTTTAACGTTGAAGCAGTTCTATAGCAAGGCCAGCGTTAGGGAGACTGAAGTCGTTCTCAAAAAATGAAGTTTGTAGTAAGGCCAAGTGTCAGCCATTTATGACACTTTCCATAAAGTGGCTTCACTTGGAGTCTGTCTACTCTCTCTCTCTCCTCCCCCCCCCCCCACACACTCACACAAAGTGTAATTTTAAGAAATGTTGCTGTGACTGGGAACTACTTTCCCACCCACATTTCCTATTCCTTCCCCTCCAAAAATGTTAGCTCAAGGATTTATATTTTTATGACTACAGCTCTGTTAGGGATGGGGGAGACAGTTTCAGTTGGTAACATGCTCGCAAGAGGACCTGTCTTTGATCCCCTGAACATGTGAAAGAGCTGATGGCAGACTTGTAATCCCAGTCCTAGGAGCATGGAACAGACAGATCCCTGAAACTAGGTGGCTGGCCAGCCTAGTCCATGTAGCAAGTTACAGGCCGGTGAACAACACCCGAGGCTGGCCTCTGACTTCCATGAGTGTGCATGAACTCACAGGTGCGTGCGCAGACAAATATGCACACATCCAGGAAAAACAACCCTTTTAGTAATCTCAGGGAAGTGTCTAGGGAGAGAGGGGACTGGTGTCCATTTAGGTAGAAACTGTTAGGATTCTGGGCCCCAGCTGTTAGAAGCTTTACAGGACTGAGTTTTAGCTGTGTGGCTTCCAGATCCATACCTGAGTATTTGCTACAAGGGATGGACTAGATTCTGTAAGATTTTAAGAACACTGAGGAAAGCCACAGAATTCATGATGGGATTCTTTTGGCACCAAGCAATTGTGGTGTCTGCCCCTGTGGTGGTTTTTCCTTCTCAGTTTGTTTTCCAGTCCTGCAACCCTCTCACACCACTCCCCTCATTCATTCCTGGGACATTTTGTTATATTCTTCCCCATGTGTGGACCCTGCCAGCCTCAGTGCCGTGAGTGCTGTTTGCACAATGAGCACATGCCAACAGACCGGTTTCTTGTACTTGTTGTGAGCTTTCTTCCGTGTGTCTGGGATATAGTTGGATTTGGAAATGTAGTACTTAAAACTTTGGGGTGATTCTCAGCACAATGCATTCTAGTGTGCTTAGGGTTTTAACCAACTTCCCAAACTGTCACACACCCTCCCCCCCCCCAGTAATGCAGTATTGGTGTCTTGTTTTCATTATTATTATTAGGCAGTCTCATAAAGTTAAGAAACAAAGGAGTACAGGGCCATTTTACCAGCAGTCTTAAATAGTGTGAGCAGAACAGAGAACAAACACAGTAGGCACTAAACCAAGATTTATTGTTTTTAATTTTATGTGTATGAATATTTTGTCTGCATGTATGTCTGTGCACCTCATGCGTGCCTAGTGCCTGTGGTGGTAGAAGGTATCAGGTATCCTAGAACTGGAGTTACCATGTATGGTTGTCAGTTACCAGGTGGGTGTTCCAAACCAAAACTGGGTCCTCTCCAGCTAGTGCTCTTAAATGCTGAACCATCTTTCAAAGATATATGTTGTTTTTGAAAAGCAGTGTTCACATTAAAGGGTGTGTCAGCCACTCATAGGGTGTAGGGGAGGGAGAAAAATCTATCCATATTTATGAAAAGATTCAAATAACATCTTACATATATTTTTAATTTTTATGTGCTTTATTTGAGCTGTTATTCATTTAGCCCCATTTCTTCTTTGCATCCAGCTTTTGTGATCTCTTTGTGAAAGAAGAAAATAGTAAAGCTTTGAAAAGCAATTTTTCCATTTGTTTTAAGGAGAGAAATGAGATTCAGTTTCTGAGTGACAAGGTGGTGAGTGGTACTTAGGAGATGGGTGCGAGAAACCACGGACATGGACATGTAAAGCAAAGCACTAGAAGGTTCTGTAATGTGTATACACACGCCATTCAAAACCCAAGCTTGGCTTTAAAGTGGGCATGCCTTCAAAGGATGAAAGCAGTCCATAAGTGGTTTCAATTTAACCACTGAAAGGCAGAATGCTGTGGATGCCTTTAACTGATCACATCTTGAGAGAGGAAAAACATAAATTTGAGTAGAATGAATGAAGAGTTTAAAAAAATAAAAGTTGTCAGAAAAGTTAGAATTATTTTCAGTATTTAATGTGATGAGCTGTAATTGGAATTGTTTTACCCATTTTATGTATACAGTGTCTCCTCTGGAGTTTTCCTTTCTGTGTTTCAGTTAATCACAATCAACTACTTTGAAGATCAACTGTAAAATTCCACAAATAATCAATTGGTAAATTGTTAAAAGCTTATCACATGTTGTTTTAATATTGCTGATGCTACTTTTTGCTGTACTTAGTTTGTAAATTAATCTTTATCACAAGAATATAAATACCATGTATACAGGGATCTGTTGAATTCTTAAGCATCCAGTAAGAGTCTCAGAATATATTTACTGCAGATAAGGGGTGGGGTGCTGTACATGGCTTTTTAAGAGAGGTTGTGACCATAAATGTGTATGTCAGTGAGTTTATTTCTGTATACAATTTACTGTAGTAAATTGAGCGATGACATGGTATTCCACTTTCTGCCTCTGCCCGAGCTTCTGCAGCCCGCCAGTCCTGTTTGCTTCTTATGTCACTCTGCACATGGTTCTCATTGTCTTTAAACAACAAGTTTCTAGAAGCAGACTGGCTATTAGAGAAGGCCACAAAAGCACAGTTAAAACTTAACTTCAGAACTATGATCTTAAGATAATCTAACATTCATCGAGTGCTGAACAGCCCTTTGGAGTAGGGGGCAGGATTTCCTATTTGTAAAAACATTTTGTTTTGCTGTTGATTTTTGTTTTTTTAAGGCAACAGTTAAAATGTTTTTATGAAATGCTTCATTGACAATCAGTGACCAAATTAAGCAAAAGTAACATGTTTTAAAATATAGCGCATATGGTTCATATGTATTTTTTCATGTGAACAAAAACCTAAGAATATACCATGAACAGTCTTCCACATCAGTACATACTGGAGAATGGCTGGTGCATGGGTGTTCAGAGACTCAAATCCTGAACTGAAGTGTCCCCCAACACATTTTTTTTTTTTTGAAGCAAGGTCTTACTGTCCACCCCTAG